CAAGAACATACCCTCCTCACTAACTATACATACAGTGGTTAACCTTACAATCAATACAACAAGTCAGGAAGCTCTCAGAAAGCCAGTCAAATTTCATTGAATGTGCACTGCTATAAAATGGTTTCCTCCTTAGGATTCAATACTGATTTACTGCAGGTCTTAAAGTTTTTATTTTCACGGGTTCATGAAACTTTAATATCACATTAGCTTTCAGATTTAGTGAATGACAACATAGATGGTGAGGGAAGGAGCACTGTTTTGGTTTCTAAGGAGGGATGAGTCAGTAGACTTCCTGAATAATAGATGGGATTCAGAAATTGTTCTGCTTCATGGCAAACCCAACACCGATCGCCAAAATACCTTGCTGAATTAGACATTTCCAACTGGACCAATTTTACAAGTTCCGTCTGCCCTGAATCTTTTCTGAAAGTAGCACTGCAGGATTTTTCTAATAATTGCTCTGTAGACTAGAGCAGCCATGCCACAATCAAATAGTTGTAAATGGTTTTCGGTGTTCGCTCTGCTTTTCTTGTTGGTGGATTGATGTCTGCTTCAGTTCAGAAGCTGTGATAAGGGCTGAAAGCAGAGACTACCTGTAAATGTCACTGGATTGATAAAAAGAGCAAAGTTTATCAGGGCTGCTGTGGCTGTGCACAAGCATGTGTGCACTAGTGATAGAGACAGTCACCTTTATCAAGTTTATAATGTGTATACTCCCAAGCACACATACTAGTTTGTGCTTGTCCTAGTGTGTCAGATAAAGTCAGTGAAGTGTATCAAGGTCAAACAGACCACTTCCTCCTCTCAGATCTGTACTGATTTTCTGTTGTGTGGCTTGTACCATTGAACCTCTCTATGCTTTGTTCAAACTGTTGAAACATGAGGATTACAGAGGAGACAGTGGACTCGTGCAACCTCGAGCTTGAAATAAACCAGGACTCTGTACACAGGTGTACCTGGGTGCCCATCTGAAAGGTAGCATAGCTCTTGGTTGCATTTTGCTTCATTGTCATTGTTCAAAGACAAGTTAATTTTCAGAAATATGTTTTTCACTTTCTTGCACAGTGTTAGATGAGGAGATTAATACCAGGCTTATGTCTGTAAACATGAAGCTTCAGTCAGGAGCTGGTTATCCTAAAGTAAATTATGGAAACGTCCAGGCTGGCCCTGTCAATAACTTCTATCGCTCACCAAATAAAACAGCAAACTTCTTGTTTTTACATTTCATTTTTTGCATGGATTAAACAAATAAGATACATATTCACTCGTGAGCTTGTTAGTGGTGCTTGTAGGTGGATTTTGTTGCCTTTTTAGACAGACAGGCTAACAGTTTCCCCCTGTTTCTAGTCTTTATGCTCAGCTAGGCTAACTAGCTGCTAGCTGTAGCTTCATTTTTAATTTACTCTTAGTAAAACAGGAAATAAGTGTGTTCCCCTAGAATTTTCAAAGTATTTCTTAAATATCATGATGTATTTTATCATGTTTAATACCTACTGCTGATGTCTGTATTTGTTATGTTGCTATTGTAAACAAAAATGACAAAATGTGTCTGGTTTCAGAGCTTGTGATGGGCATCTTACACTATTTGCAGACATTCTATACATGCAATGAAACACTGAATAATCAAGAAAATTAATAATTTTATTAATCAATAATTAAATTAATTGTTAGTTGCAGGCCTGATATTGTATTTTAAAGGACTTTCTGGTAAAAGAAAAATAAAACTATAATTAGCTACCTCCTTATGCTTTACTATGCATATTATTCCTCCATTTATTCATTTAACAAGTTAGGTGAAAGTGTTTTCATCATAGTTATGTCTTTGAAATCTGCATTTAATAGGCCCAAGGGGAGTTAAAGCTACACTATCATTACTATGCATTTGTTCACACATTTGCTTTCATGTGTGTATGTGGTGTCGAGTGATATGCTCAATTGCTCACTTTAATGTGTGTATGTATAATCAATGAATCAATGAATGCTTGCATACATTTGTAAAACATGTCTAGTCATGCATGCGAATGTGTGTGTGGCCTCTATCTCATTAGTGCCCTTTGTCAGCATTTGATCTGTGGCCTGCCTTCTTATGGTCCATTGTGCTCATATCGCCAGTGCATAAAGACCTGTGGTCCGCATGGACCGGTGAATTGATTTGCCAGGCTGTTTCAGTGAAGAGGGGGAGGGGTTGTGTTTGGAGGAAAAGAAGGCAAGAAAGGTTAAGATAAAGTTGCTTTGAACAAATTCTCTCTTTGATCAGGCGGCTCAGTGGTGAAAGGCCTTTCTTCCAGAAGTCAGAGCCAGTTGAGAGAGGAGAGATGGAGATACACATTGTTCTGTTTCATCTAGCCTCTGTCTTTCTTTTTTTCTCTGTTGTTAGCTGTGTGTACTCCCTGCTTCTTTGTTATGGAGAGTGCCAGGCCTTTCTTTCATGACTCCACAAAAGCACACGTATGCACACACACAGTGACTTAAAAGCACTACTCAACAAACTCACATTACAACACTGTGTAATTGGAAATGCTGAAATGGAGATCCATCATTGAGTTCATTAATCAAGCAAAAAGGCCGAAAATGTGCCTGTTCTAGCTTCTAAACTGTGAGGATTTGCTGCACTATAAATTGAATATATTTGGATTTCGGACTGCTGGGTGAACAAAACAAGCAACTTGAAGATGGGAAATTGGGATGGAAATTTTACACTAGCCTTTCTGGATTTTTCTTTCATTTAGTTCAACTTTTATTTACTGGGTCCAAAGAGAAACGTGCAGCCAGGGGAAACACTGTATGTTCAAGTGTGCATGTTCTGTAAGATACATAAAACATGATTACATACAATAAAAATATGTCAAACAAATGTTGAAATTCACATAAAACATCATTATTAGACTTAACCACTAAAGGAAAAAAAAAGAACCGACAAAGTACTTCTTAATGAAAACGTTAGTTGCAGCCCTACTCGCTTTTTCCTTTCCAAACCAAGAGTATGTAAAACAGGCACTAAGAGGCAAAGATTTCTCACAGCCAGGTTTCTTAGCTTTCTCACTGCATGCCTATTCTTTCAGTTAACAAAAAAACACTTATTTCCTGTCAAGCCAATTGATTATTTCCTCCAATTGAGCTTCATTCAGCCCCAGGTTTATCAGCTCAACATCCTCAGAGCAGAGCTGAAGCTGTAGCAACCAGCTTAATGGGTGCCACACACACACACACGCATGCACGCACGCACGCACGCACGCATGCACACACACACATACACACACACAGGGATGATTTATTGTGGGGTCTCTCTTTTGTATTCTTTTTTTCTAAAGCAGGACTATCAGTATAGAAGGGGCAGTACAGCTAACCACAGATTGGTGAATAGGAGTTGAATGGTTGTTGCCATGGATGCGTTTATAGCTATTCCAGTCACACACACACAACACTTTTAATAGTTATGTGTACTATATGCACACACTTAAACAACAGTTCTCATATTTAGGTACCCAGCACATATCTGGTTCCACAAGCCACTTAGAGTGAAAACTCATATTTCCTGATCTTATTTCTCATTAAAATCTCAACTTACACACCACGTGAGCAGCTGCTTTTTAAACAAACAGGCACTGTTAAACTGTGGTCTTTTCAGCCGGTCACTCCATTAAGCCGGAACACAAACATTCCCACTAGTCAGGCGGGTTGTCCTGGCGACAATAGTGTGAGAGAGACTGGATGTTGTGATTGGACCGTCACCTGTGCTGCTGCGCTTCATTTGATCATAAAACAGGGACACGTGTTGTTATTAGCCACGCTAGCGGTGTGGCTCTAGGGATGGCAATGTCGATCTGTTGGTCTGCCCACAGCTTCGGTCCAGACTGAAATATATCAACCGCTAATGGATGAACTGTCGTGAAACCTGGCACAGATATTCATCGTGTCCAGAGGATGAATCCTACTGATTTTTCCTGTAGCACCACCATGAGATCGACATTTGTAGTTTTGAGTGAAATCTCTTGACTAGGGCTGAGTCAATAAGTCAATTAATCAATCAGTCCATAATCAGAAAATTGATAAAATTAATACTGATGGTGGATTAATCTTTTAAGTGATTTTTTTTAAGGTGCTGCTTTCCTTTATGTGACAGTAAACTGAATGTCTTTGGGTTTTGGACTGTTGGCGAGACATTATTTTTCACCATTTTTATAGATCAGACCTTTAATCAATTAATCATGAAAATAATCAGCAGATTAATCAATAATGAATATAATCATTACGTGCGGCCGTGCAGTCTCGACAACTGTTAAATGGGTTGCCAAGAGATTTCCCACAGACATTCATTTCCACCTCAGGATGAATTCTAATAACTTGGGTGATCCCTTAACCTTTTATCATCAGTGCCATCGTCAGGTCAAAATCGAAATGTGTCATTAATGACCAAGTACCTGCCAAAGTAATGACATTCCCAGCAGCCTCAGCTGTACTTTGTGTTTAGTGTAAATTAGCAAACTGTGGGCAAAGGAAAGTTTGAAAGGAAGTAGTTGAGTATCCATCTCTCAGGCGTACACTCGGCTGAACATTTGTGTTTGCACTGGGCACTAATTCCTGCTTTATAGCTGATATAACAAGACAGATTTTTCTTCAGACTGTTTTGGCTGCACTTAACAGTCTGTGAGATTTCAGAATGGCAAATTTAGCAAAGATTTGTGCTGTTCAAACTGTACTAATGATATAAGCTTTGAATTGCTACCCCCAGAGGGTTTTATGTTTGCCAATTAAAGAAATAATCAGTGACTGGAGTGTTGGTCTCAAAGCAGGAGAGGTTGTGAATAATGATTTAAAAACTTGGCCACTAGACTTTCTGATTCATATTATGTTTATTCATATTTAGCTGCCAGTGTAGAGAACTGTGGAGTGAACTTTGTTGATGTGATGTGGTGCAAAATGAAAACTTTCACATGGACTTGTGTAAATTGAGATGAGTAATAAAGTCCTTAATACCATGTTATCTTGTTGCTTTGCAGATAGCAGAAGCAGCCAAGACATCCTCTCAGGCTGATGACTTGTACCTGGATGACACAGGCTCGGGAGGTTATTACCCTGAAGATGATGATGACTTTAACTCAGGGTCTGGCTCAGGTAAGACACATTTATGCACGCACGTTCTCTCTCACTCACAGACTTGCGTAAGAGAGACACACACACACAGACTTTGCGAGCTCAGCAGGCAATTACCCAGAGGCACGATGACATTCATTTTCGAGGCTGCTGCAGGTAAGTTTTATGAACCCTAAGTTTTTCTTTTCTTTTGTTTTTTTTTTTTCTTTCACCAGCAGACTAAAGTTGTGCCATCACTTTCTCTTTATCTCTTTCCTTTCTCCTCCTCTCTTTGTCTCCTGTTTCTTACACCGCCTCTCTCTTTCTCTCACTCGATTTGAATTGAGATTGCCTTGTCACCCAGACTGCCGTCGGCAAGTGTGCAAATTTCACATGTCTTTTTTATTAGCTCCTCTGCTCTACTTGCTTTAAGCACCTTTACAACACTCATTCATTGGTCAAAAGTAACTTTTCTCTCTGAGAGTTGTATAGCTGCAGTGGGAGAAGGTCATGCCAGGTGAAAGGAGGCAGGACAATGATCAATAGCCCTTCCAATATTACATATATAGCCTATTACTCTGCTCTGGCACACTGTATTCTATAGGAGATTCAAACTGTAAATAATACATGAAAATAAAATCCACAATGTGAATTAAGAGAGAAAAAGTAAATGGATGCTTTGGATATTAAATATTAGTAACATGCATGCCCATATTTTACCTATTTGCACATACAAACACCATAATCTTTATCGCATTTTTATCTGTAGGGAAGCCAATTCCCTACACAAGTAATTCAGTTTCATCAAGCAAACATTTTAAATGAGGAGAAGCGTTATTTACCTGTCGCCCTCTTTCTTCCAGGTGGGGGTGAAGAAGTGGTGGAGGAAACAGTGACTGTCAGTACGGTTTATTTCGAGCCCAATGCAGCGCAACCCACCCAGGACTCCACCAAAGATTTCACCCCCAGGGTGGACACAGCCACGGTCAGAGAAAAGGCAGACAGCACGCCAAGGAAACCATTCAGAACAGAGGTAAGGAATCCCCAGAAAAGGATAGAGACTGGACACCAGACACGAGCCGATTTCTTTTTTTAACCAGCTTGGCTGAAGATTTGGACGAATGTGAGCAAGACAAGAAAGAAAGCCTTCTTGACTTCTATCATCAAAGGATTTAAATATGAGAGATAGATTAGATGATTGACACCACTCTCATATAAATATGTCTATTAAATGAAGCCAGAGGCCTTAGAAGAAAAGATAAAGATAGATAAAACAGCAACCCTGGCTCTGTATTAAGGTAAAAAAAAATAGCCTGGCTGTTTCACCTTTGCTTTAATTCCTTATGATAGGCAAAGCTAACTGTGTAATGGCATAGCTTCATATTAAGCATCCAGAAATGACAATCTAACTCTGAGCAAGAAAACGAATAAGTAAATGTTGAACTATTCCTTTAAGTAGACATTCTGCACTTGACAATTTATGTGATACTGCTGATTTGCCCTAATGTATTTTTGCTCCACGTAGAGCATGTGGTGCTCTGAACAGCTTGTAAGTTCACAATTACCATTTTAAAAGGGACATTAAACTATTAAATTAATTATACCCTGGGGTAAAACTTTTGCTGTGTGCTTCATAGTGAGCAGGTATATTATGACATTATACAACTTAATGTCAGTTATAATCACAGTGGCTCATTTATAACTACCCTGAGTCAACAGAGAGTGGCACAATACGTCAGTATGTCTTTATCTGACCCAGTATATGTCATCAAATCCCCTGTAATACCAGGAGCCGTGAGGTTGCTTTCAGGATAAAGATCAAGTGCTCACGTCAATTCTCAATGTTTTCGCTCCATTGCAAATTATGGAGGATTACATCTCTCTCGGACATAATCACGTATTCTGGAACCATCCTAGATCTCACTTCTGTGTTGCACTCCTACTGTACTGCACTGGATACTGCATCTGTTTGGGATTAGTCGTCAAGGTCTCAAACCCCCTAAGCCTGAGCCTACCTGGCCCTTTCCCATTTATTTTCCTCCTGCCTCTGTCACTACTCTCTTGGCCAGCTGCACTGCTTGATTTCCATTCTGGTCCTTTGCACCCTCCTTTGGAAAAAGTGTGGCATACATAGGCCTTGACCCATTGGGCAGGTTTCGTTTCTGTGGCCCAGTGAAATTCTGTCCTGTCACGTTTCTGTGTGTTGAATATGAAGCTAGAGCCAACAGTCAGTTAGCATAAAGACTGCAAACAGAGAAATAAAGGAAAGAAAATCCAGCTACCAGCAGCTGTCAAGCTCAATAATTGACACCTTATATATCTGTTGTTTATATGTTGTTTGTTGTGCAGTGGTTTCTCTGAGTCTTGTCGTCAATGTGAGGTTATCAGGTAAAGTTACTGCGCCTGGTAAAAAAATAGTCCCGCACATAACCAGATACATACATAAGCCTGCACATAATTCGCAAAATGGCGAATTACATCATTAATATTTACAATCACGGTCTTACCAGGGAGGAATTTAAGGATCATGCCAGAACACCCAAATGAACCCAAGTCCTCTAAACACACAGACTGTGAAAGTCAGCTGTCAATAAGCAAACATAAATTTAAACCCTCTCTTTCTTCCTTTCCTGCCTCTTCCCCCTCCTGTCTTCTCTCCTCCTCACCCAGGCACCAGTGCCAGTTACAGAGGACATGCAGAGGAACCAGATGACTAGTACAACTAGTACCCCCGGTTCACCCCAGGAGGCCGTTGAGGTCCGCACTGAAAACCTCTTCCAGAGGACAGAGGTGTTGGCAGGTATGTATCACAGTAAGCCACAAAGGACATCAAACCATTCCTTCTTTGGAAGATTTACTTAAATACACACGGACACAAATGTGTACCATTAAATTGACTCCACTTTGTGTTTTAAGTGAGATCTTTCTTTTGTATTAGCCTCTCTATTCTTATATGTTACAACATGTCGGCATATTTCCGGTAAAAAACAAAGTCCTAGAATTCTAGGTAATATTTTCCCTACAGTCTCCCATCTAATCCACCTCTGAAAATAATCACATTTAATAAACTCTGTCTGTGTCCCTCTGTGGGACTTTGTAGAGTTCACAGCATTGTGGGCGTTTCAAGTGTGTGTTGCTTGCCTTTTTTCGAATACATGAAAGAGGGTGGAAAGGAAATTATCTGACTCGAAAGCACTGTGCTCTCTGATGCCGTCTCTCTGTCCCTGCGTGTCTGAGGCAAACATTGATTGGCACCTCACTTTCACTTTGTTGTGATATCCATCCGGTGTTGGCAATATGCTGAAACAACATCAACAAGGAGAAATCGGGACACTCGCCTCTCTCCTATGGATAGGCGCATTTCATCCTTTGCATATTGTTCTTGGATTGGGATAGGAAAAATAATGGGATTGCCAGTATAAAGTCTTTAGATGAGGCCTTGAAAGAGGAAATATATGTATAGCTTGGTCACCTCTACTCTGCCTTCGCTTCTCTACCTCGTTCACTTTACCCTTCCTCCAGATCATAACCATTACGTGTCATCTCCTGCATGACTTCTATAAAAATAATTTCCCATGATCTAATTTTCATTTATTCACTCTGCTTTGCGTTACTGCTTCTTGGGAGCTCAGCAGTTGGGCACGTGCCAGGATCTTTACCCATGAGGCCAGTCAACATGTGGAAACCTAAAGTGGAGCAGAGGGCAGATTGTAGCACCAGGAGGGACCTTAAACAGATTAGGAAGCTATAAAGAACCTCATACAGGCATAATTGGGAGGGAGAGTGAAATGAGCCCATGTGGCGAGTTAGGAGCATTAGTGAGGAGAGTCAGGGTCAAAACTGGAGGGGGGGAATTTTTTGATACAGCCTTGGTGGATTTAATTCAGATTTCCCTTGATGTTAGCCCACTGTTGGCCTGTTGGTTTACAACATGTCCTTTACAGAAAGTTTAACCTCAAACATTTCTGTGTCTATCAAGCCCTGATTCTGAACTGTATATGACATATAATGGTCTTGCATGGATATCCTCCAGACATTTTAGTCACAGATTCAGTTATATAATTTGTTACAGCAAGGATGTTGAAAATTTAAATTCAACCTTCTTAGTGACCTAAAAGCCTGAAAAAAATTATGACTAACAAAAGCCATGTGAAAATCAAAGATGGCATACAACTCCTTCTTCCATCAGCCAGGAAGGAGTCCTGCTTTGTATTGACTTAAATGAAAGAAATCTCTCTCTGTTGGAATAAATAATGTTTTTAAATTTTTTAAACGTTTGGCTTTTTTTCCATTTAAATGAGCCGAGATGATTTTTTTTAACCATCCAGTGAGTTCATATTTTTAAACTTCTTATCTTAACAAATTTTATGATTGGATTTGTGATGAAGATGGTCCTGGAGATATCCATGCAGAAGCATGATGTGATGCCTGCAATTCTGAAGAAGAACATGGAGGAAAGATTGGTATTAAACGTGTCCACCTTGTGTTAATGTAGGTAGTTCAAGTTTTATTTTGTGGAGAAAAGCATGGAGAGTCATAGTCCAAACAACAAATCAGATAGTTGTGATGCCACCGGGGTTATCTTAATTTGAGCTTGTCGTTCAAGCCTGTGTTACAAACTGGCACATGGAAATTGAAACGGACAGACAGGATCTTACTGAATGACACAATCAAGTTGCATTGTGGAAAGTGTACAATCCAGGGTTTTTTGGCTTGGCGTCACTCTGTATCAGAGGTCAATATTTTAGTCTTGCAATGACATTTATCAGCGAGTTCAGGGACAGGATTCAGTTCAGGCTGTTGTTTGTTTGTCCTCATTGGATTTATTTGCTTGACTGTTAACCACAAGCCTCCTGCTCCAACGTCCCCATCAGCAGTCACTGATTGGAATACAGACCATGTCGAATCAACCACACTTGGGGCGACAACACAGCTCTGTATCAAGGATTGGAGCGTTAATATCCCTTTAATGGAACACTAACTTTTAAACTCAACCAACACATGAGGAGAGGTGAAATGAACCACAGCAAATGATCCACTCTGTATCTCCTGAGACAAATTGAGGGTTTTCCCACTGACATTTAGTAACTGCATTGGTTTCGACATTCAGTGGTGATGATTGCAGTTTGTTTTCACCACATTTAATCTCTCAGTTTTGATAAAATGCTGTTGTATTGCATTAGTATTTAAATTTGTTCCAACAGTAGCAGAAGCTGTGTGTTGTACAAGACAGAAGACACACTTCATGTTAGACCACAAGGAGGCAGCTCAGTTTTTGCGAAGTTAAGGTCTCGTTCTCCACGAGGATACACACACTAGACATTGGTTTTACATTGATAATTAATTTCCCTATTCTGTCTTTGCCTCTTTCAGCTGTTATCGCAGGTGGCGTGATCGGCTTCCTGTTCGCTATCTTCCTCATCCTCCTGCTGGTCTACCGCATGAGGAAGAAGGATGAGGGCAGCTACGACTTGGGAGAGAGGAAACCCTCCGGCGCAGCCTATCAGAAGGCCCCAACCAAGGAGTTTTATGCATAAAGTCCTGCCCTCCCACCACCAGATTGACAAATCTTGAGTGACTGTTAAAAAAAAAAAAACACAGTCCACAACAACAGCAAATCTGTTCAAACACAAGAAACAAGTACAAAATGTTTTCAAGTCGATTAAGGAAAAATAGCATAAAGGAAAGCTTTTGCATAGAGTATTGTAATTAAGACCTTTTCTTTCTTCTTTTTGTTTTTTAAATGAAAACCAAGCATTTCTCATTTTATGGCAAATCTCAGTGTATTTAAACATTTTGTGTATTATTTGAAAAGGCTGAAAAAATAAAAACAGGATCTGTAAAGGATTCTGTCAAAGGAGCTGTTTTTAGTCGCTGACTACTTTTAACTGTAGCAGTATGTTATTTGTAAAGAAAAAAAATTTAAAGTGGAAATAATTGAATATAATTATTCTGTATCAATCCTCGTTCATTTTTTTTTCTTTTTATTTTGTCCTAGCATGTCTGATGTTGATCTCTAAAGGTGTATTACATTAATTTATCTTTTCTCTGATGTTAAAAAAAAATGCCTTTGTAGTTTTGATGAAGCTCTTTGGTCTTCATATTAACGCTGTTAACGGTCAATGTAAATGTTCTCCCTTCAGGTTACAATGTTTATTATTTGCTCTCACATCCATTTTTTTTTTTTTTTTTTTTTTTTTTTGGTCAAACGTGAGCGTTTCATTATGTCTTGTTGATTTGTTTGTCTCTTCTCAGTGTAGCCTTTTTTCTTTTTTTTCTTGTCGACAGCGTTTTTCACACCAGGAATTGGTCTTTAAAAAGATTAAAATAAGTGTGTCAGGGCTAGAAAAACATCACAAATCTCGCTTCTGTTGTGCGTCTTGCTGAACTTCTTTTCTATTTAAATGCATTCTCTCTTACATTGCACATTCACTGCTTTTGCTTCCCACTGCTATCGTGCAGCTTTGCGTGTGTGTAGTGTTTTGGGGTGAAGTTTTCTTCTCTGTGGCTTGTGGTGTTTTTGGCCCAAAGCCACCTACCTCCCCAGTGTGTCCCTTGAGTTTACTGACTGCACCCAAGGTCTGCTAACATCTCTCCCCCCGCCCTCTCTCTTTCTCTCTGTTTACCCTAACCTCCCTCACTCCCACCTTCTATTAAATCAGATTGGAGCAAGGCCAGTTGGGCTGTCAATACCCCCAACCACCACCACCCTCTCTTTTTCTCACTCAGCTGTATGGAGCCACCCGGGTAGCCTGGTGTTATTGTCCGTGTCCCAGTGTTGATGCTTTAGGCCCAAAGATCTGCTCAGTGAAGGCCTGCTACTGCTTGGACACAAACAAACCAGGCCGGGGCTGAATCCCCACATGCAGAGCACATACCTCTGCAGCAAACAACACAAGAGCACCCCCCCTTCTAGAAACCTAGTTTCTCTGAGGGATTGATAGATAAGGCTGCACAGAAAATGTAGGACTCAAGTGTTAAAGTTTGAATAGTTTTTGAGACTCACATTGAGGGCTGTTCATGGTTTTAAATGGTCAGTGGAGGCATTTCAAAATAGTTGAAAGATGAGGTTGTTTGCCACATCCACAACATACACAAGGTGTTTGTTTGGATGCCATTCTGCATCCCCAAATGAGTTCAACTGAATAAAAGGCCACAAAATAGCTGCAAAGATTGAAAACAAAGATTACAGTCAAATGACAAGTTAAGTCTTCTTCTTCTTTTTTTTTTTTTAAACGTCTACATTAACTTGCTCTGAAGAGACACACATGTTTTGTCCGGCAGGTTTGTGAAGTTGCCTTTTTCAGCTGTACAGTAATGTGAAGTAGGCGCAGTAGATGCTGTCACATCGTCTAAACTCCTAACACCACCCACATGCAGCTGTTCATCCCTCTACCTCTCCATCCCTTCTTCTGTCAGTCTCTCTGCGCTCCTTTACTCATCCACCCCTCCCTCCCCCACCCCCATCTCTGTTGTCCTCTCTTGTCATAGGACCTAAGGTACTGAACTATACTGAAAAACCCAAAGACTCACAGTATTTCTACTCCCACCATCTCCTCATACCCACTCCCCTCCACCATGGCCACATCATGTTGTTTCCTCATTCTCTTTTTCTTCACTCTTTTAGTTTTTTTTATTTTCTCTCTATTAGAGACCTGACCTTTGAGTCCAATTGCTTATTAGTATATGAAAAGATATATAAATATATATAAATGTATATTCACAAATGTTTTAAACCTTCAAAGTGCCTACCATTTGGAAATGTACTTGCTCGAGGTGAGCATGTGGCGGGTGTGTACACAAAAGAGGGGTGTAAACGACTTGACTGGCATTCTGTGAGCATGGATGACTGTAATGGTAACTTTTTTTTAGTCTTACAAAAGCTGACAGTATTGTACCTATAAGTTGAAACAACACTACTGAATAAACATTGTGGCCTAATATCCAACTGCTTGTGCCATCTTGTTTTCAAACTACACTTGTTTTTGCCTCCCTCATCTGTTGATTGTGTTAATTTGATCAATTAAACGTCGTGGTAAATCAGCACTGAATCACACAGAGCTTGAAGCTTGTAGCAGCTTTGTTCTGACTCCATTGATTCAGGTCTCTCATCAGGTGTTTTGCAGTCACCAGTGTGACTTCAGGGATCCGGGTGAAAATTAATGGCAGTTCCTACTGTGGATTAACACATTAATCAAATGCTACAGCTTCAAAAATGTGAGGTTTTGTTGTATTTCTGTCTCAAATAAATGTGATTGATTTTGAACTGTTGCTCAGACAAACGTTTTAAGGTGCCACCATGGGCTCTGGGAAATTGTGATCACCTTTTTTCACTATTTTCCAGAGTCCATTCCTCTTTGTGAATAACTTTGAGCCAAGATTTCTCCAGGGAGCTGTTAGCAGGTGTTTTTGTATAAAACATTGATTCATTAGTTTTTCATGAACAACTTTGTTTTTACTTTTCTGCTTATGTACGGGTTAGGAAAATGTGAAACCATTTTGATTAGGCTGATTTGACACAACCAGGCTAGCTGTTCCTGCTTGTTTTAGTCTTTATGCTAAGCTAGGCTAATTGCAGGGCTTGCAAGGCTCTTTACTTAAAGGAATAGTGTGGGTTTTTTGACGTTGGGTTGTGTGAGGTACATTACCCACAGTAGATTCTGTTCTGCGCGGTCCTAGTAGCGAAAGCCGACCAGCAGCACCCGGCAGAGTGGCAGAGCGATGTGTTGCCGTGCACGGGGCCACGAGAAAAAGCGAGTTTTAGAGACTTTTAGAAATGCCAACCGAAACAATCCAATATCCATTTAAATGTACGCATCATGTAGAATATTTTGAGTGGTTTTATCTTCCTGTGAAAACAGTGCTTTCCTTTGGCACTACATTTTTCAACCGTTGAACTACAGTATTCCTATGCACAAGCGCACCTAGGTAGCGCACTGTATTACGCCACTTTCTGATTTACTCAAAAGTCGCTGAAACACGTTTTCTTCTCGTGGCCCCGTGTACAGCAACACATCTGCCACTCTGCCAGGTGCTACCAGCCGGCTTTCCTAACTGGGAGCGTGCTGAACGGAATCTACTGTGGGTAATGTACTGAATATTCATGAGTACCTCACACAACCCCGCGTCAAAAAACCCAAACTATCCCTTTAACATACAGATGGTATCAATCTCCTCTAACTCGCCACAATAAAGTAAATAGACATGTTTTCCAAAAAGTCGAACTATTCCTTAGTAATAATACACTTTCATGCAAGTGCCACTATGAGTTAGCATGTCAGTCATGCTGTTCTTTTATAATTACAGATGATGAGGCTTTTAAATTATGTTTTTTTCATAAATACCTTCGAGCTAAAATTTCTCCTGGGATCTGTTACCAAGTGTTTTTGTCTGAAAAGTTGAGAGCAGATCGCTTTATACAGCTCATTAACTGCTTTAAAAAATGTCTCCAACAAAGTGCTCATTTTGGTAATTATTCAAAGGTAAGCCATTCTTACTATGGTTACCCCAAAGCCCTAAAGTACCCCACACAAAACTGCCCTCACTTTATCTATAAATAGATTTAAAATGTTGGGCTGCCTTTAAAACTGTACAGCACGTTGGCTCTCTGAATGTTACTTAAAGTCTAAGGGGATTATAAATGCGCAGATGAGTAATCTTTATGTGGTTATGTGCTCCACCATATCATTTTAGTGCCCTAATCTCACCCTGTTACAGAGGGAGATTAGCGTAACGGTGGGGATTAATCTCGCACAGGATTGCACATCTTGAGTGGTGGCATGAGTGGAAAAGAGAAACCGATGAGGCTGACACGAGCTCCAACAAACCTCTGAGGGACGGTGGGGGTGTGGGGGTAGGCGACCTTATGCTCATTAACCGGTATTTATTAGAGTTATCACCTGAAACACATCACGGCTTGTATCCTATGTGCTGAAAGAGTAAATGTAATTATGTAGCATTACAGAGCAGCTCATTAAGAGAAGGTAACATTTCTCCTTTTCACTTTTTATTCATTATTCAAATAAATGCAGTAATTATGGAAATGAAGGGAGAGGTGGGCAGCAGTTATTGTCATTAGAATCAATTCCCAGAAACACTATTGCTGCAGATTAACCTATTTTTTTTTTTTACTTTGGGTGCAGAACATCAGCTCTTATTTGACATCTGATCTATAGTAGCTGGTGATTTCACAGGCTGCTTCATCACAATGGAGTTATTTATACTCACAAACCCTGAAAGCTGAAGCTGCTGAAACTACCTTGTGATGATCTCTTTGAAGAGGAAAAAGGGAAGGGGAACTGAACGTGCGCGCATGCATCAGTGCATATTCCAAAAGTGTGTGTATTTACATGTGTGTGTTCGCATGCATGCTTTTTGTTTCCTCTTGTATCTTAACCTGAGGGGAGGCAGATCATTAGGGGCAGGATAAAGCCACCTCTGGCTCTTGATATGTTGTTTTAAGTGAACACTCCTCTTTCTGCTCTTTTCTAAGGAATCGGGTCAGTATGTTCCGATATGGTATGTGATATTTGCCCAGAGGCAGTTTGTACAAGGCATCCCACCAGGGTAGGACCCATTTAAGGGGGTGGTAAAGCAGGGAGCCAATGGGAGAAGCCATACATATTGAAGCTGTTGCAGTAACAAACATTTCCCAATCTGTCCTTTCCTCTCTGTGCAGCTACGTTGCATGTGTTTGCCTTTTTAGTCTAAAGTTTGTGTCAAAGTGCAACCAGGACTTATGAGCTGTTTGTGTTTTGCTCGGGTTAATGTAAAGGGTCAGTGTGTGTTTATGTCAGGAGAGAGAGCACAAATGTAAACGACTCTCAGTCAAAGATGTAGGTGGATGGTTTTTAGATTACTTTATATAACCTTTTCTTCTTTCTTTCACGCTCTCTCACTTTCTGCCTTTTCCTTTGTCTCTTTTTTTTTGCCTTTCTTTCTCTCCCTTTTGTAGCTGCAGAGCTGATTCAATAAAGCTGTCAGCCTTCAACTGGTAGTCAGCGCCAAGCCATGCAGAAACGTTAAGGAAATGGCGTCCAAGGTAAACAGGCTGTCAGGCCTCATAAGAGCTCATGGCTGGAGACTAAGCCTGGGCCTGACTGGGGTGGACACGTTGGACCTCGCTGACCCAAACACAAGAGTACAGCAGCATAGCAAGCAGACACAACACTGCACCGGATCGGGCCAATGCATCAGTCCAAGCCAACGCCTCGAAAAATAAAACTGTGATAATTATAGTAAGATGAAGCACACGTCTTAGTCCGAGCTCCAACCTCAGGTCTATATTCCTGCCTGGCGTTGCTCATGGTTGTCACTGCCACACGCCTCAGTCTCAACCAGCTGCAGCCACTGCGGCGTGGTGATTTACACAGACCCATTTTGGACACTGACATCAAGAATGTATTTTTATTCTGACTCTAGTTTCACTTCTGAGCCTGCCTTGACAAAGAAAAAGAGAAAATAAAGAAACACTGAACTAAGAGCAACGCATCAAAGATTTTAAGTCAAATAAATTAGAAGCAACCCAAGGTTCTGTGGAGACCATTGCTGTGTCTCAAAATGGATATCTCAGTCCGCATTACATTTCAATTGGGTAGTGTTTGTCCCAAATTAAACACTGCCGATGTGCACTTACCGGAAATGAGCATCGCAACGGGGGGACTGCAATTTACTGCTTTGCTCACTTGACTTCAAAATTAACGTTTTATTGTACTGTTTGTGTCCCCTATGTCATGTGACATGGAAATTACGCCGCCATTGCCGCCGTGTCCACACTTCATTCGCAGTTTTCACACGTTTGAAAATACATTTGCGGTCCCTGCCCTTCTTCTACGTAGCCAAGATGGCGACCGTTGAGGAAGAGAAGTGTCCATCGTTTTACACTCAAATCCAGGTACTTATAGTGCACTGCATGCTGCCATACCTATCAATGTGAACGCACTTCTGCATTCAAAACAGCAAGTGTGAGTATTGAAGTACATGAATTGAGACATAGCACATGAATGTCTGTATAAAATATTTCATGGCAACCCCATCAAATAGTTGTTGAATCGTTTTAGTCTGGACTTGCTGCTAGCTAAAAGCTAATGTTAGAAATTATAAAAACAAGATTTTGCATTAAGGTGCAAGAGAGACTGTAGTATACTTTTACAACAAAGGCCGGGAAAACTGGAGTGGAACAGGAAGAGATAAATCACCATCAGACAAAACATGAGGAAATGTTAATGTTAACCTGTCATACGTGAAGTCACTATATTTAGTTGCCTGTGCTGTAAAGACCGTCTCTGTCCTGGCTGAGTGAAACCAACCTGTCTTTTGTTGAATGCTCTTTCCCGGATTTAAGGTTGGACTGGTCAAAGAGGACACGAGGAGATAACCCACAGGAGGAGTATTTCCTAAAAGCAAAGCAGTCTCAGAGCCAGTGTAATTCATCCCTGTGAAGGAGGTGAGTGGAGCTGAGTACTTCTTAGGATCAGAGGTTTTAGTGCTCAAAGATGCTTAGGAGGTAAATCATGTCTGAATGTTGTGAAACTGCTACAATGCACTGAATTAGTGTGGGCTTAATCTCTATCTCCTTTATTATTGCTCCACTTTTCAAAAGCTCTGAGTCATGTATAAAAAAAGGTAATTTGGGTCTTGAGGTTTTAAAGCTTAATGATGCTTTTTATATTAGGCAGGGAAGCATGAACTGATTATGCAACAATTTTGCTTAGTTTGGATGATCCAGTGGGGAATTTGAACTATTTTAATTCCTTGGCTGAAAGTATAAAAAAAAAAAGAAAACAGGTTAAGAGCTCTGGTTGCTATTACAAGCTGGGTGTTGAGTTTGTTTCAAACATTTAGCAAATGAAGCCATCACTGCTGCATAAAGAGCAACACATTTGGGAGGAAGGAAGGGTATAATGACGACTACTAACACAGTCTGGTGATGAGAAGTGGTTTTCCTGC